CCTTAGGATTTTCTGTGTAAATAGTCTTGTCTTTTGCAAATAGGGACAGTTTTACTTCGTCCTTACCAGTCTTTGTCCTTTTTGTTTGTCTCATTTTTAAATTCATTATTGCATTGGCGGAGGACACCAGGGCAAAGATGAATAGAAGTGATAGGAACAGACTACCTTGTCTTGTTCCCGATTTTAGATGAAAGTACTGTTTCCCCATCAAATATACTGTTGAGTTTTTTCCCTCAATCAGTGTAACTGGGGCATAATTTACATAGAATAAAATTGAGCAGCCATTCATAATGAAAACTGAGCAAAACTTGGAAAAGAAAGGAATCTTTTTACTGTAACACAGGACATTTAATAAATAAAGGTGCATCCAGGAAATGCAAAGTGAAACTATAATGAAGTAGCACTTCCACGGGAAGTAGTATGTCCGCTAGAAGTATATCCACTAGAATAGTTAAAATTAAAAATTCTTTCCATACCAAGTGTTGACAAGGATATGGAACAACTGATAAAGTTGCTTGTGGTAATTTAAAATGATACAACCACTTTGAAAAATAGTTGGAAATTTTCTTGTAAAGTTAAACATAGATTTAGTATATACCACTGAGAAATCCCACTTTTAGCTATTTATCCAAGAGAAATGAAAACATGTCACATAAAGCTTTGTATACAAATGTTCATAGTTTTATTCATAATAGCCCAAGTGTGAATAAACTTTAATGTCCATCAATAAACAAAGAGATGAAAAATAACTGCTGTGTATCTATAGAGTGGAACACTATATGGTTCTATTTATATTAACTTACGGAACAAGCAAAACTGACACATAGTGACCAAAAGCAGATCAGTGTTTGCCTAGGGTTTGGCAGACTGATTGCAAAGAAGCACAGGAAACACTTTAGGGTGATAGAAATATCTCGATTGTGGATGGTGGTGGTTACCTGGCTGTATACATTTGTCACAGTTTAAACTGCATATTGAAAATGGGTGCAGTTAACCTGGCTGGACCCACAGTCTGAGTTTTGCTTTTCAGAATTTCCTCCTCAATTTTCTGAGTTTTTTTGTTTTTTGTTTTCTTTTTCTTTTTGGTCTCATTACTAAACTCTGTCCTCTGACACCTAAAGTCAATAAGGATGTCCTCTGCCTGTGTAGGGTTTGCACTTGCCCTTAGGCAAAGATTGCTAATTGTGTATCTCATCCCTTGCAGTTTTTCGGTTTTTCAAGAGTAGACTTTCCTCCTCTTTCTACCTACTTTTGGTTGCTTTCCAATGTCAAATAGTACACTCATAAACACACAGAGAATAAAAATGAATGCCATTATCAGACAAATTTTCAAGATTTTTTTTTTAAAGATTGAATGTTGACATTCAGTGTTGACGGGATGGGTGGAAGAGTCAAACCAGAGGAAAACTTACCAAAAAAGTGTTGAAGAGGAGAGATTCTGAGTAATTTAGTAAGGGAATCAAAGTGATTAACTGAGAAACTATTTGAGGCCACTTGGCCTCTTCTTTTCCCCTTTTCTAATTGAACAGAGGGCAGCAAATACAGTTCCCTGTTGAATAAAGTTGTGCGTTAAGTTATGGTTGTTGGGTGGAAGAGAACTCATTTTTCTTTAGCAGTTATCTGCCTTGAAAGCTCAAATAAATCATTTGGAAAACTATTATAAGTAGTAAGACTTAGAGCTCAACAAACAAATATCAGTACCTTTTTATATACCATTCAGGAGACGTACTCCAACAAAATAGCAAATCACATTTTTTTTAAAAACCTGGATTCATTAAACATCTAGTAATAAACAGGAGTGTCAAGAGCCATATGAAGAAAATATAGAACTTTGCAGGAGGATATAATAGAAATTATGAATAAATGGAGACATACCATGCACATGATGAGGAATGCTCAGTATTGTAAAAGATCTCAGTACTATTTCAGTTTCGTTGGTAAAACCAGTGGTATTGCTGGTTAGAATCTGAAAGGAATTTTTTGGGAGAATATTTGACAATATGACCCTCAACTTCCTCTGGAAGAGAATCTGGATAAACTTAGCGAGATATATAAAATATAATCACCTTGTCCTAACAGATACAAAAATGTAGTATGATGAAATAGTACTAAAAATAGTGTGTTCTTAGTATGAATATAAGCCAATGGGGTGGAAGAAACAGCCCAAGTATAGATTTTTGGATATATGAAAACATAGTTTATTATAATAATGGCATTCAAATCAGGATAGGTGTTGGAACAATTGGTTAAAGATGGGAAAAGATATATTTAGATTCTTAATAGATACCATATATAAAAATAAATTCCAATGTAAATTTAAAACAATAGTATAAAAATGTTGGGTAAGAGTTGGAAACTTTTTTTTTTTTTTTTTGAGACGGCGTTTCACTCATGTTACCCAGGCTGGAGTGCAATGGCGCGATCTCGGCCCACCGCAACCTCCGCCTCCTGGGTTCAGGCAATTCTCCTGCCTCAGCCTCCTGAGTAGCTGGGATTACAGGCACGCACCACCATGCCCAGCTAATTTTTTTGTATTTTTAGTAGAGACGGGGTTTCACCATGTTGACCAGGATGGTCTCGATCTCTTGACCTCGTGATCCACCCGCCTCAGCCTCCCAAAGTGCTGGGATTACAGGCTTGAGCCACCGTGCCCAGCCACATTTTTAATAATATTTGCTTGTTACGATCATCCTATGCAACAATAGTCCATGCATTTGTAAAGGAAATTTTGATAGATTTCACTGCCTAACATTTCTAATATACACTGAAGACACAATACCAACTGGAGGGAAATACTTGTAACATATGTAACATAATATTAAAATCTACAAGAGCTTCTAGAAATAATAAATAAAAGAAAACCCAATAGAAAAATGGAAGGATAGCATCAACACAAGAAGAGTAAGTATTAATGACAAACATGACAAGATATTCAGCTTCACTAGTAAATAAGAGAGATGCCAAATAAAATTACAGTGATAACACTCTTTGCATACTAGATTAGCAAAAATGCAGATTCACACTACCTGTTTCTGGCAAAAGCTAAGGGAAATGTGCGTTCTCAAGATACTTGGTGAGAGTGTAAAGTGAAAAAGTGTTTTTGGAAGGCGGATGGCAGCATATATCAAAATTAAAAATTTCTTGTATGCAAGAATTTCTCTTGCAACATTATTTGTAGAGGATATAGTAATGGAAAAACCTGAAACACTCCTAAGAGAATAGTTGAATAAAGTGTATGACATCTGCTGGGTATGGAGGTGTATGCCTATAGCTCCAGCTGCTGGGGAGGCTGAGGCAGGAGGACCACTTGAGCCCAGGAGTTCTGGACTATTGCGCATTATACTGATTGAGTGTCTACACTAAGTTCAGCATCTGTGTGTGTGTATGTGTGTATGTGTATTTTTAAATACTTATATGCAGGTGTATTACAGCATTAGAAGGTATACTTACTGATATGTGAACAAGTCTACCTCTTTGGATGGGAGAGTAGAATTGGAAGAGCCATGATAAAGGACTTTTGTGGTTTTTACTGTTTGTGTGTGTGTGTGTGTGTGTGTGTGTGTGTGTGTGTGTGTGTGAAAGAGAGAAAAAAACTTGAATGTTTTATATTGATACTGTTATTTTAACAATAATTTTATTATAGAAAACAAAAGAATAAATGATTATTCATCTAAACTTGGCTATGCTTCCAGATCCCTTGGGAAACATTTAAAAAATGCTGACACCACATGCCCAGAGATTCATGGTTATTTGATCTATTCAACTAAATATCTGAACAAAGTCCCTATGTGAGTCTGATACTTATTGACCATCATTCACAGTCACCCATTTGGTCACCTGATTTTTATAATAAAATTATGAAAGACTTGAGAGGTGAAAGGGGAACTGTAGTAGGACAGTATTCAGACGAGGATTTATCCAACCCCACTAGTTCTCCAGCATTGTTTTTGTTTTAATTTTATTAAATTAAATTTTGTTTTAATTTTATTTAGCTATTGTTTTTGTTTTAATTTTATTTTATCTAGCATAGTGAATGGTAAAGTTGGGATCAAATCTAAGTTTTCCACACCTTTTCTTTCTACTGTTTTACTAAGCTGTATGTTTTTTATTGGATCTAGTGACTCTCCAGAATTACTTGGGAGATATTCTTTCTCCCAAGTTTCTAACATGATTTCTAGTAAGAAATAGGACTGATTTATAAAAGAAACAAAAGGTTAATATCACAATGTATACAGCTGCCATTAACATGAGTAATGGAAGGTATTACAGCTAAAGATTTCTAAAAATTGATAGAAAATGGAATATATTACAGATGAAGTATGCAGTACTTTATCTGTGCTATCTTGCACATAAATACACTCTCTTCCTATAATACCTTACCTTTACTTTAACTCACATTCCTCACTCCCTCCCCCACATCATTTACCCCTTTACCTTCACATTTTTAAGACTAAGGGTGAAAGTTACTTTCTCAAGCCTTTCCTGACTACCACTACTCCCTAGGTGCAATTTGCCTCTTTCTTTTTTATCTATGGCAGTGATAATACTTTCTTGAGCTGATATGACTTACCAGTTTTTGAGGATAGGGACCATATTTTAATTTTATATCACTCCAGTACCTGGCACAGTGCCTTATAGAAATAGGCTTCAAATAATGAATGAGTTAAGGGAAAAAAATATACATCTAAAACTTGATAACTGTGGAAAAGAATGTAAGCTAGAATGTAATCTCCAAAGTGATACTAAGACAGATGAAGGAGATAAATATATGACTATAATTTGTCCAAATTATATTTTCTTTAAGACTAAAGTGGTTTACGATAGAAACACTGAACAATTTGGAGTTAACTTGATTGATTGATTGGTTGGCTGATTGATTGATTGATTGAGACAAGGTCTTGCTCTGTCACGCAGGCTGGTGTTCAGTGTGCAGTGATGCGATCATGGCTCACAGTAGTTTCAACCTCCCAGGCTGAACCTCAACCTCCTGGCCTCCCACCTTAGCCTCCTGAGTAGCTGGAAGTGTAGGCATACACCACCACACTTGGCAAATTCTTTCTTTCTTTTTTTTTTTTTTTGTAGAGACAGGGTCTTGCCATGTATCCTTCCCCTAATTTACAGGAAGACACAGATGTACAAATAGAAGAAGCTCACTGAACTCCAAGTACAATAAAAATGGTTGAGAGGCAGAGTTTTGAAAGCAGCAAGAGAGGGAGAAAAGTGACTTGTCACATACAGGTGATCCTCAATAAAAAAATCAGTGGGTTTCTTAGTAGAAACCTTGCAGACCAAAAGACAATGAGTTGATATATTTAGAATACTGAAAGAACACTATCAATCAAGAATTTTATATTTGGTAAAACTCTTCAAAAATGAGAAGTTATGACATTGCTAGACAAATAAAGCCTGAGGGAGTTAATCACTAGACCTACCCTTAAACAAATGCTAAGGGTAATTCTTCATGTTGAAATGAAAAGATCCCAGACAGTCAAAGCCATATAAAAATACAAAGTTTGCCCACAAAAGCAAATACATGAGCAATTGTAAAACAATATCATTATAATTTTATTTGTATCTTTACTCTGTTTCCTACAGGATTTAAAGGCAAATGGAGAAATAATAATAAAATCTATGTTAAAGGATATACAACATAAAATGATGTAATTTTTGGCATTTATAACAGAGTGGGAGGAGCATGAATGTAAAGGGGTAGAGTTTTTGTATGCAATTGAAGTTTAAGTTGGTGTCAGTTTAATATAGATTGTCATAACTTTAGGTTGGCATAAAAAATACCCATGGTAACAACAACAAAAAAATTTATAGAATATACACACAAGGAAATGAGAAATAAAATGTGCTGCTACAAAAAATCAGCTGAACATGAAGGAGGATAGTTATGGGGAAAACAGAGGACACAAAAACTATGACACAGAAAACAGATAACAAAATCCAAAGATATGTGCCCTGTTAGTCACTTACATACAAGTAGAAAATCCAAAGATATGTGCCCTGTCAGTCACTTACATACAAGTAGATTACATTTTCCAATCAAAAGACATAGATCACCAGAAAGGGTGTTTTTGGTTTTTTGTTTAAATCAGGCTTCAAAAGGTTGACAAATGTTTCTTTAGTGTGTAGCTCGTAAGCCCCATGAAGCAACAGCTCCATCTAGCCACCAGTAGGCAGAGGAAAGACTATCAATACCATCCATTTTCAAGAAGATATCCTGCTTCTGATTTCGTGTTTGATTTTTTTATGTTGTATATTCATAATGAATGATTACTTTGAAGATAAGCTTCTAAAACTATCTTGAAATCCTATATTTATATTCTTCAAAATTATTTAAGTATTGGGCTAAGCACTGGGGCTCCCACCTGTAATCCCAGCACTGTTGGAGGCCAACGCGGGAGGATTGCTTGAACTCAAGAGTTCAAGACCAGCCTAGGCAACATAGCAAAACCCTGTCTCTACAAAAAAAAATCTAAAAATTAGCCAGGTGTGGTGATGCACATTACTAACATATATTAAACACTTAATATGCACTAAATATTTTTATTTTATTATCAGATTTAGACCCAGTAATACTATGAGTTGGAGACTGTCATCCTCATTTTATAGATGAGAAAATTGAGATACTGAGAAATGAAATAATTTGCCCAAGATCTCAAAGGTACAAAATGATAGAGTGGTTCCAGGTGTGTGCCGTATTCAGTGATGAATAGGGAAGGAACCTGTTGAGATGGACAGGCTATTGTTTGGTAGGAGATGTACTGTTATGGAAACAGCCAGTTGAGTCAGCATAGGCTCTGCTTAGGAGCCATGTGGCAAGCAATTGGCAATGTCTATCACTGTGTGAGTACTTGGATTTGGATTTGGAGAGGTACACCAATGCCCCTGTTTTGGCTGGTGGCATCCAGTAGAATGAGGAAAGCCCCTTTGCTCAGGAGACTAGCTGTCACACCTACCGGTGGCACATTCTGCCTATCCCCACCAACTATAGGAGTCAAGTTATCTATCCTGTCTCTTCTCCACAAGTGGCAGACGTATAAAGTATTCACAAAGAATCTTACAGAGAACTTTGAATAAAAATACATATTAAACAAGATAAACACAAACATTTGAAAAAAGAAATCAGCACTGTGAAAGAGATGCACCCAAGTCAGCAAAACAAAGATCCTACACTAGAGAAAGTAGGAAAGCAGTCTGTAAAGATGGAAATAATAGCACCAGTCTTGGAGATAAGAAGATGAAATGAATTTTTGCATGTAAATAGCTTAGAACTGTGCTTGGAACATAGTAAATGCTCGATAAATATTAGTATAAACAAAGAGAACAAGGCTATTTTACATTGGCACAATTAGAGAGGATATTGCATTCATGCAAAGAAAACAATGAAAGATTTTAGAAATTAAAAATAAAATTGTCACAATAAAAGACTCACTAGTTAGGATAAATAGCATAGACACCATGGAAGGCTTAAATCTTTCAACATTAATACACACAACAAATAAAAATAATGAGAACATACAGAATATTTTAATAACACAACTATCAAGTTTAATGAATTACATACTCTTTTTTCCAAATACTTATGGAAATTTTGCAGAAATTGAGCATATGCTCAAATGTAGAAATTTTATTACTACATTTTGGCATATACAAAAATTAACTTTGTCATGTGAAACAGTATATGGAGTGAACAAGAGATTCTTCCCAGGGTAAAGAATGAGAAATTGGCTTTGAAAAGATTAGAAACCCATGAGCCATGAGGTAAGTGATTAGCAATGTCTAATCACCTTGAAAGGTTTGAAAAGATTAGAAACAGAGCTCTGTCCCTAAATAGACACTCCTTCATGAATGGAGTTGATGATGAAGTACTATCTCTTATTAGCTATCAGTATTAACTAGATAGTTACAATTTCTAATAAAATATTATTACATTTAAAATTTATATATATTGCATTGCAGACAGTTCAGCTTTTCTCAGATGTAGCACAGTAATCTAGTTAGTACAGCAGTTCTTGGCACAGAATATATAGCCTCTAACTAAATATAGGTAGTGATATAACCCCAATGTCCATTTATATAAGAAAAAAATTAAGGGTTTATAATATGTGTTTTCAAGATGTATTAAAACAGTTACTGTAAGCAATTCCACTCCTAGATATATATTGAAGAGACTTCAAAATATTTGTCCACACAAAAATTTATATTCATATGTTCATAGCAACATTATTCATAATAGGTAAAACATGGGAACAATCCAAATGTCCATCAAGTGATGACTAGAGAAACCAAATGTCATATATCTATAATAGTGAAATATTCAGCAATAAAAAGGAATGGCATACCATGGCACACTCACCGGGGTGGCTATAATTTTTTAGAGGTAGTGCTGATGAGGATGTGAAGAAATGGAAATCTTTACACATTTTTATACATTGATGTTGGAGACTTGAAAAGGTACAGCCACTGTGGAAACAAGTTTGGCAGTTTCTCAAAAAGTTAAATATACAGTTATCCTGTGACCCAACAATACTATTCCTAAGCACATACCCAAGAGAACTGAAAACGTGGTCACCAAAAATGTGTACACAAATGTTCATAGCAGCATTATTCCTAATAGTCAAAAAGTAGACACAACCCAGTATCGGATATAAAAAGGAATAAATTACTGTTACATGCTACAGTGTAGATGAACTTTGAAAACATACTATGTAAAAGCAGACAAACAAAAAAGACAACCTGTTGTGTGATTCCATTCTTTTAAAATGTTCAAAACAGGTACATTTGTAGAGAACAGAATGTAGATTAATGATTGTTAGGGGCAGCAGGGAAGGGCACATTGGGACTGACTGCTAATAGGCACAAGATTTCCTTTGAGGGTGATGGAAATATTTTGGAATTAGATAGTAGTGATGGTTGTACACCACAGGGAATATACTAAAGTATAATGACACATACATGTTAAAATGGTAAATTTTGTGGTGTGTGAAATATATCTCACTAAAAATGCCATATAAAAATAATATTGAGACCTGGCATATGCATTTTATAATTTGATAAATTTTGCAAAGTTATCCTCCATTGAGATGGTATAATTTATGCTTTCAGAAGCTATGTATGAGAGTGTCTCTTCTTCTCGTGTGTATGTCATCAAACGTTTTACTCTTTGCCCAGTATTGCTGTTGAAAGAAAAATAATAACCCAATGAAGATTACTTTTGTATTTCTATAAATATGATCAAGATTGACTATCTTGTCATATACTTAAATGCCGTTTGTATTTCCTTAATTGTGAACTTCTATTCTTATTCATTGCCTGTTTTTCCATTAGTGTTGGGTTTTTTCTTATTAATGTATAGAACTTCTTTATATATTATGTTTTTTCCTAGTTTGTTTTGCAACTTAATGATGGATTTTTTACAATGAATGCTATTTTAACCATTCAGTAGTGCTTGTTATAGTACTGTTCCATCTTCCTGGTTTAAACCAAGAACCTAAGCCCTATCTCATTGATATCATTGATGAGAGCTATTGAATTTCTCAGTGCTTATCTTTGTACTTCTAAACTTTGTCAGCTTAACACATCTGTGTATGTAAATGTGTTTGTATTTCTTTTACCAGAACATTTTGAAGGAGAACTGAATGAGGAAAGCAGGCTTTTGATAGAATAATTGATATGAAATTTTGATTATAGACAGCCATTAAGGTGGATATAATTTATGAATTTTCCTAGAAGATATGAAGAAAAACAATCACTAGATTAATAAATAGATGGATGGAAAGATGGGCAAATGGGTAGATAGATTGAGGAAAGAAGTGTGTTAAACAAAGATGAAAACCCTATCCCCAACTGTTGAGTCATTCAGCAGGTTTAGTCCTTCAGTAAATTATTTATTTATTTAGTTTACTTTCTTACTTATTTTGAAATGGGGATTACAGGTGTGTGCCACTGCTTCTGACAGTATTTTTAGTTCATATATGTCAAGCCCTGTGCTAGATGCTGACTGTACAGTATTAACTGAAACAGCTTTTATCCCTGGTTTTATTATAATCTAATGAAGGAGTCAGACAAAAGAAAAGGTGAAGCAAACTTAATTGAGATAATGTAATGAAGGAATGCAATGATCCTTACTTTTTTATAGAAAAATAACTAAGTTAAATGGGAGCGGTATGACATGCTTTTGGTAGGGTGGTCAGTGAAGGCCTTTCTGAGGTGGCAGGCTTTAAACTGAGACTTACAGATAATGAAAAGTACTGTAGGAAATCTAGAGTGCATTCTGTGAAAGGGAAGCTTGAAATTGAGGTCCTTATAACAGCATCTTTCCAGAACAGAAAGGAGGCCATTATGACTGGAATTTAGTGAGTTGAGGTGGAAGAGGTAAGAAGAGGCCATACTATTCATAGTGTAAGGACTTGGGATCTAGTACTGAGAAATTATCAAGAACTGTTCAGCAAATGAATTACATAATCAAATTTAGTTACTCACAGCCATGTATTTATTATTAAAATCTATGTGTTCTGCCTGGATATAATTATGGGTGGTAAAAGTTAGGTTTATAAATAATAATACATAAACTTACTTGGAAAATACTGCCACATCTAGTACCTCATTTTGGTTTCTTTGATTTTTTTTTTTTTAACTGAAACATGTTAGCAGTTGAAATTTTTATGAAGTCAGCTATAATTGTCCAGAGCTAAACTGGCCTTCAGAAGTATTGAAACTGCTTAAAATTTCACACACATAAAAATCATTCTCAAAATTAAACATTATATCTTTAAAAAATTGGTGAGTTTTTTCAAGGGGAGCAGGTATTTTATTTTTAAATGAGTAGGGTAAATGTTATAAAATTTCTCCTGAGTGGATTTCCATGTTCTGTAGTAAAATTTTGCCTGAATTAGTATAAAGCCCAGGAGAGATAGGGGGTGAGGGAGAGTGAGAGAGAGTGAGAGAGAGAGAGTGTGTGTGTGTGTGAGAGAGAGAGAGACAGAGAGACAGAGAGAGAGAGAGAGAAGGGTGAAGAGAATTTCAAAAACTTGCCAGCCTATTAAGAAATAAAGTTAAATTAATGTGAATCACTTCAGGTTGCTGCAATTACTAAGCATTGTTACTTTTGAAATAGAGGTTATTGCACATTGTATAATGTGATGAAAAGTCAAATCAAAATCTTAATGTTAAAACAAATACGTTCAGTAATTTCTGGCATAATTTTATTATATTTTATATGAAAGATATTGTCTGTAATGTAATGATTTTTTTTCCTACCTGGGCCTTTTCTGAAATGCAGCTTTTAGCATTTATCTCCAAATGGAACAGATTTGCAAGAATCAATATAGTAGTTCCTCAAGGACAAAAAAAATCAGTTTTATTTATTTATTTTTCAGAGGTGGCTGGATCCAAACAAACCAATAAGGAAGCAGCTAAAGAGTGAGCATGCATATTTACTTACTGTTTTGCAAGTATACTTTATAAAGATAAAGGATTAATATAGTCTGATTAATTAGAAACTACTTTTATTAATTCTAGGAGGATCTCCTTACAGTTTGAACTTTAGAGTCAAATTTTTTGTAAGTGACCCCAACAAGTTACAAGAAGAATATACAAGGTGGGTTTATGGAGCATATTTTTCTTGAAAATATTGTCGGAACTCTAATATGAAATTTTGAAATTAATTAGGCAAAAAGAAATTACTACAGTGTAATTCTGAGCTTTCTAGTCAGTACACAGAATAAGCTATGGCTATTCCAAGGTAATGTTTTCCTCCTTTTTTGGATGTCTGGGAGAGCTCAAGGGGATTTAGAACCTCAGAGCTTCCCAGTCCAACCCCACGCAGCCTCCTGAGCCATATAAATATTAAAAATTTCTACTTGTGAACACTGTTTAAGTGCTGCTTAAATTAATTGAGGTCATTATATGTTGCTGAAACCACATCCAAAACTGTGTAGTGAGAACTTTTTGAATTTTTTTTCCCATGTGAAAGCATATTCTAACATCCTTTTTTATTGAGGAGAACATAGAATTTATAAAATATATAACCATTATGTGCAGGTCAGTAGGTACCTTTTGTTCCCTATGTGTTTTTAATCTTTGGTTTCAAAAATATAATGGATTTTATAAAGGATATTGCGGGAAGTACACTAGCATGTTGAGGCCTTTACATGCCCACTTGACTCTCCATTTTAAATCTCAGCTTATGTTATTATATAATTTTGTCGTTTTGATTTAGAGTATGTACATGAATGATGCAGATGAACATTTTGATAATGTTCTTGAATGTAAGGTGAAATACTGAAGGTAGAAATGGAGAAATACCAACAGTGTGGTAACTGTCAGTATTAAAATAACCAGCACGACAACCTTGTATATTGCTTGAAAGACAGAATTAGGAATTAGTCATTAGTTTTTTTTTACAAAAGACAGTTAAAAATTAGCATGTTACACTCTCTAAAATTCTCAGATATAAGAATATAGGCAAGTGACTACATTCAGAATTACTCTAAAAGATAGGTGTCCATTGGACACGGTGGCTCACGCCTGTAATACCAACACTTTGGTAGGCTCAGGCAGGCGATGAGATCAGGAATTCGAGACCAGCCTGGCCAACATGGTGAAACCCTGTCTCTACTAAAAACACCAAAAAGTAGCTGAGCGTGGTGGCGGGTGCCTGTAACCTCAACCACCCTGGAGGCTGAGGCAGGAGAATCACTTAAACTCAGGAAGCGGAGGCTGCAGTGAGCCGAGATCATGCCACTGCATTCCAGCCTGGGTGGCAGTGCAAGACTCTGTCTCAAAAGAAGAAAAAGGTGTCAAAAAATCCATACGTAAAATAATCTATAGATAGGATGTTAAATTTTAATGTATGGTTTTAATGTATTTAGGATACTGTCTTGGAGTGAAGAAACAAAAGGATAAATTAAAGATATTTAATTAGGTGCAGCTGCCAGTTCTTAGATGTTTGCAGAGTTTTCATTAGTAGACCAAGTGAGAAAAATTAGATTGAAATTCTAGAGAGTTATTTTCTGTTTGTTTTGGGGTGGGTATGCAAGTGTTTTTTTTTTTTTTTTTTTTTTTTTTTAAACAATGGGAGAACTCAGTGACGTATTGTCTGGATTATATAATCCTAATGCTTGCAACTAATAGTAGAATCCAAGCTAATTTATCTTGAAAAGCAAAGTTGTATTATATGTATATACCTTAGTTTAATATTGTAGCCCTTAAAATATTGTTAGTTAAAACCATCTTCATAATTTACTTCACAATGTTATTCTTTTATAGCCTGCATTGAAAACACAATAAAGAAATAAATGTGTCTCACTAATAAGTTGAAATAACTTCCTGAAGCAGAAGAAAGTAGAATCAAGTTTGATAGCAGTCAAGGAATTAACTTGTGCTCAGAACCTTTTATAATGGAATGTTATGGAATCTTAAAATTAGTATTGTTTGGTAAAATGTGG